ATAACTACTGTACACAGTAAAGAAAAACTCGGCATGTTACACACACACACACACACACACACACACATGTTTGATCAGTTACCATGCATAAACTTTTAGAGGCCACATTAAGAGGTTAAATTGCTTATATCACTTGTATTTTTACTTGTTTGTTTATGGTACCACCACTATTTTATTAACTAATTCAGGTAGTAAACGAATATTAAAGGGATAATCCATCCAAAAATGACATCTCTGTCATCATTTACTCATGCTCATGTCATTCCAAACCTGTGTAAGTTTCTTTTTTCTGTTGAACACAAAAGGAGATATTTTGAAGAATGTTGGTAACCAAACAGTTGATGGTAGCCATTGACTTCTAGCCACGGACTAGTATTTTTTTTTCTCCATAATATGCAAGTCAATGGCTATCATCAACTGTTTGGTTACTTAATTAGCAATAAATTAGCACAAGAAATGATTTCAACTCAACCCACATTTTCCTTAAAAAGACAATCAATCAATCAATCAAATTATGTATAGCATATACAATGGAAATGATTAGAGACCATTTTTGGATAATTTAAAAGCAGAAATGTGAAGCGTATTAACTCTTCTGTAAAAATTCTTTAAATTCGAATTATTTAATATTAATTCTTAATCCCTATTAAGCTGCAAAACGGTTTAAATAATCTTTTACAGCTTTTGCAGGGGTTTTAGAATTTATAGTGCTACATTTTCATGGCAAAAAAGTAAAATTGAATATTACTTTATTGTAACATTTTATGTGTTCTATGTTTCTGTTTATACTTTATTTACAGTAGTGGTAATAATTCACACTGTAAAATTCACTGCAATTGTAGAGCAGGGCTTCATAACCAAATATTAAAGCAGTGCTGACCCCATTTCAACAAGATTTGTTTAACAACTGTTATGATTCAATTCTGACCAGTCCTGTTCATTTGGAAACTCGTGGGAACTGTTGAGGACTGTAAAGTTGTTATTTAGAATGAAGTTTAAGCTGTTGATTTATTGTATAGATGTTTTGCATAAGTCACAATTATAGGGATGTTTTTTTATACAATTTTAATAACTGAACATGCACTGTAATATGCACTATATTATAATAATTATTTTTTAAATTCCTTATACTGCAGCCAAGTTTTTAAAGAGATGATCATTTCATAATTTTTTAGGGCAATGAACTTCATTTCATTTTAGCATATCAATTTGTTGGGAGTAACATCTGAACGTGAATCTCAGAGTGAATTCTTGGAAATAGTGTTGTAAAACCCTAAATGTTATAATGTTTATGGTCTCTTATGTTGTGTATCCGTAAGCACATATCTCAACAGATCAGTACAATGATGCTAGTATATCACTCTGTGTCAAAAGACAGTAGGTTTACAGTCTGTACAGTGCATATTTCTACAAAGAAGTCCTGCCCTGATGAATGTTAGCAGTAATTGTCTGAGCACAAAATGAATCACCCTCACTGATCTCCACGGACGGCACTGCACTATTTCTTATTTATTTATACATTGAACAACTGCCTCTATCTAGTGGCTGTAAACAGATACTACTGCACGATGTTTATGAACTTATGAAAAATCGCTTTCGCAGTGATTCTGTGTGCCGAGATCAGAAATTTTAAGGATGTCGCAGGAAACAGTTATGTATCCTCTCCGTTTATAGGTAGCCTATCTGGACAGTATACAACTCAAAAATAGGCTATTGCTTGAGGTCTAGTTCATCCTTAAAGGGGTCATATGATGCTGCTAAAAATAACATTAGTTAGAATGAGCCGTTTTAGGTAGGCGTGGCTGACTCTTAACTTTTATAAAGAATATCTCTTTGGATTTGAGACTTTAGTCTTTGCAACTTTACAGATCTTCTTTATGCACCAAGAGCTTGTAACACTCCAAAGAGAAAGGAACAATTGAAATCGCATCATATGACCCCTTTAAATTCTTCTCTCTGTATCAGCGTCACTGTTGCCTGGGCAACGCGGGACATTCGCTCAGATCAAACCAAGCAGCACCTGCGGGGAGTCCCAGAGCAGCGCTCAGCATCACCGCAATCACAGGCAAATGCACTCTATATTTGACCGCATTTCGTAATCGATTATATAGTATAATACGCTTTGACAACAGAATGATCTGCCTGTGATTGACAGTAGGTCTGTTCTTCTGATAAACATCCAGCTGTCACGTGCTTGTTGACAGGGAGAGAAACGCAGTCGTGCTGTGCTTCTCGTGATCAGTGCGGATTCGTGACTGTCATAAGCAGGTGTTCAGGTTTGATTTTCTCCATTATCCATTATGCAACTTATGCAATATATAGGATGCCGTTTTAATAATGCAATTAAGCTTTATGGAATCTTTCCGAACAGACGATCGACATCTAGTGAGTTTACAAACTCTCATACATGTATGAATATTTTATAAAGTTCACAAATGAATGCTGTTTTTGGCTTATTGTTACTATTTAGCTACTTGCGCGTGCATTGCGATCAGTTCGGGCGGTAACGCCGACAAAAGCATGGCAATGGCATTATGTATTACTTTATTATACATGCACATAATAATATTTGACAAAGACTGCATGACAAAGTTTGCAAAGTCACCAAATTAATCAAATGAATAGCAAGAGGAGCTCTTTATATTGTTTTTGAGGGGGGTAGTAAAAGGATGTCCTGACGTGAAACTGTCGACAATGCACTCATTTATTGAAACCACCAAACCTAAAATGAATGCACATAAATTCAAATACCTTTATACTGTATGTCTTTTGATTATTATTTTTTTTACTTATAGACAGTGCTAATAACGCCAGTGTTGATACTTGTCTCAAACAACAAAGACCTTTAGGCCTTGAAGAATAAATAACAGTGACAAATAAAATGTAACGCGTATAAAATAGTAACAGATCGAATGTGCTATTTTCACTTAACTGCATGTTAATTTCAATTATATGAAAATGTTTTGTAGTTTAAATTTATATTAAAAATACCTAATTATCATTGTTATATCCTTATAATTAATTTAATAATTACTTCTATTGTATTTGAAATATCGTTAAAGCCGAATGTACTGAGCATTTATGGTAAACAAAAAATACTTTAATGTCATTTATTTCATATATATCATATATTTGTAATTACGCATTTGCAACAACATTGGAGTTTAGTATGTAGTATATAGAATATCCCTAAATGTAATATTGAATAACATGCTTAAATTATTATTAATTAAAATTATGAACAAGTCTTTACATGCATGTACTTTAGTATGTTAGTCAACACATCTTCTTTAAAGCACTACAAAAGATTAAAACATAATAATTTAAAATATACTTTAAAGTAAAACGTTTAATATTATTACAAAGTGCACTTTTTAAAAGTGTGTTAAGAAACATAGTCATGAAAGTGTCTCACTTCAAGTTCACTTAAGTGGCTTTTTATTTCATAAATATATTATCTGCAAGTACAGTTTAAAAAAAAAAAGATTTGAAGTGGATTACAAAAGAACATTCAGTACAGTTAAGCAAACTTCTTTCTCACAAGGGAACACACACTTCAAACAACAACACATATGAACTGAAAAACAACATCAGATTAGGTCACTACACATAAGCACCCATACCTGGATGCTCTCAAATACACCATTCACACACAGTAATGCTGTGTTTTTCATGGCAAATTACAAATATTCAAGTTGCAATTCATTATTTAAATATTTCAGCTTTAATAAAGTTGGATTGAGATGCCATTATTTGCATTGTAAGCAAATATGTAATAGTCAAAGTCCAGAAACATCCAAAATCATCATTCAGGAAATACTTTCATGGGTCACATGAACCAAAACAAAATCCATACACTCTCAGACAAAAAAAAAAACTATCACTGGGGTTGTACCCTTTCAAAAGCTACTAACATGTGCACTTTAGGTAATAATACATACTTTTAAAGCACTAATATGTACCTTTATGTACCATTTAGATATAAATAAGGTACAAAGGTGCACCTTTAGTTTTTGTACATTAGAGTACCACCCCAGTGACAGCTTTGTACCATTTTTCTGAGAGTGTAAAAGTCAGTAAACAAATATATAAGCATATGAAAATGGCAATGAAAAAAATGGCAAGATATCATAAGAGTAAATGACGGATGATTATGGCATGATTCAGAGGAAATTATAAGCAGGTGTGATTAATCAAAGTCAAAGCTCTGAATTCAGCTGATGGCGACCTCACGCAGAGGTAAAACTGTCATGCTAATATTGTTGGCTCCTTATTTGTAAGTCTCTTTATATATTGGCATTCATCAGACGCGTCTTCTGTGTTTTCCTCTGCAGATTCTCTTCAGCACAACCGTCCAGAAGCTCTTTTGTTTCGAATGCTTATTTCTCCATTCCTTCAACTCACACATCGTTCCTCCATACTTTCCATCATAGTTTCGTCACTGGCATCAGCACTGTTAAACATGCTGGGTTGACAGTATGGCTGTTATACTGCGGCGTGATTGACATCTCAACAATCACCTCTGCTTTTACCATCAGTGACTCTACACCACAGCACCACGGTCTCTGAGGCATTGTGGGTAAAATGTCAGTGGCATTGCCGGCTGTGCGTGATGTTACATGGCTGACGCTGGAGGTGTGTCGGCAGTTTCAGAGAGGCAGCTGCTCACGCAGAGACTCAGAGTGTAAGTTCGCACACCCACCCAAGAGCTGCCATGTCGACAACGGCCACGTCATCGCATGCTTTGACTTTCTCAAGGTAATGAACTCCATTCACAGGAACAAATGCTGTAATAATATGTAGTATTCAATCACATTAAATATATATTCACATCAAATACTGAACAGGAGAATATCATGATCCATAAGAGCGTTATCTAGCATTCTTAATCCTATCCTTTTATTAGCTTCTTTCTCTATTGGCTCCAATCAGACTTTTAAGACCTCACTGAAATAAAGACAGTATAATTAATAGACCAGTGTGTAACTATTTTAGTTTGCATGACTGTAGGAGGAATTTTCTGTAGTTTAGTGTGGACTTATAGAATTATTAAATAGCAGGTGTTATCATATTGGATGATTATTAAGCAAGTGTTAACTGTAGTTGAGATACAATGATTATAGAGCATAGTGTTAAGTGTCTTAAGAGTACTTATTACAGAAATAACATACTTTTAAAAGAATATGCTTAAGTGCAAACTGAATGTAATGTTTTGAATGCTTAACTGCATGTTAAGTGCAATTAAATTAAGCTGTTCTATAGTTTACATTTATATTAAATGCAATTAGCTGAACTTTAGAGTATTTTTGACCCGCTTAAGTAGGACTTAAGTACAGTTGTAGTAAATACAAATGAAGTTGCAATTTAGTATAAAATATATTAACTTTAAAAGTAATATTTAATAACAGACTACAATTATAATTATAACACAGTAATACAGTTATAATTATAACCACAGTTATAATCAAGTACTTTACATGTGCTTTAGTCCATTAGTCAACACATCAAAATAAGTGTACTTCTTTTAATGCATGACAAAAGTTCATTAAAACATAATGATTAAAACTTTAAAGTAAAACATTTAATATGATATTATTACAAAGTGCACTTTATGAAAGAGTCATGGAATTGTCTGTCTTTACACTTAAGTGGTCTTTTATTCCATTAGTATTATAGTATATGCAAGCACTGTTTTTACACTAGTGCACATTCAATACAATTAAGCATACTTCTTTTTCACAAGTTGAATGTGTCTCAGATGTATATTACTATGTGTTTGTGTTTGCTCTCAGGGTCAGTGTTTGAGAGAAAGCTGTAAATATCTTCACCCTCCATCTCACCTCAAGGCTCAGCTTGAGATTAATGGAAGAAATAATACGATTCAACAAAAAATGGCTAGAATGTTACAGCAAATGCATTTTGTGCTGCCTGGATCCAGCCTGTCGTCATTGGTAAGGCCCTCACACTGTTTGGCCCTGCCCATTTTCTTAGTTTATTTACTCCTCCATGTGATATGCAAAACAGATGTAACGCTGGTACCTTCAGCTCTACTCTTGTAAAGGTAATTAGGTTTTTTAAAAATAAAAATTAAAATTTTTGGTCAAACTGGATTTTGTGCTGTTTGCCATTACAGGCTTCATTTCCTGTCACTCAGAGTTTGGGGGCGGGGTCTGGGATCAGCTACGCCCCCTATGTCATGCCTGTCTCTCATGGGATTGGTCTGATCAACACTGAAATGCTTCCCAGTAACCATCAAGTCATCGTCCCCTCTGCCCCTCGAGTATTAGTACAGACCTCACACGCCTCTCATCAGAAAGTGCTGCACTCTGACAAAATGGAGGTATAATTCAATAAAAACAACACACACACACACACACAAACACACAAACATACACACTTACATACTTGTATATGTGGTTTACAGGGATTCTCCATAGGTGTAATGGTTTTTTACTTGTTACGGAGTGAGCAGAGGAAACGTGCGGATCCATATGTAAGGCTTTATTTGAAGACATGGTTAGAAACAGGCAGGGTCTAACGCAAGCAAACAGATATAGCACAGTCAAGACACAAGAGAAGTCCGGTAAACAGGCGTGGGTCAATCAACAGCGAACGTAATCGTAATCGAACGAGGGCGAGGCAAACGGGTAATCCAGGCAGACAGACGATAAAGAGGTAATCCAAGACAGACTATAATTCCAGGGCAGGCAACAGACAGACAGGACGAGATAAACAGACTAGAATACAGACTCAGGTAACCAGATTATGAACAAGACTAAACTAGAATCAGTAAACTCGGAATGGATCCGTAATGTAGCTATCACTTGTAGAGTGATAAACGCAATACAATACTCGGCAGTGAGGAAGAGGAAGTCCATGGTTTATGTAGGGTGTTTGATTGGTGGCAGCTGTGTGTGTAATCAGTGCAATGGATGATGGGAAATGTAGTCCGGGGTGACATGTAACAGTTTGTGTAGTGTGAGAGTCAATGTAATTGGAAGGCAACAACTGGTGGCGAGCAGACGGAAAACCACGAACCGGATTCGTGACAATACTGAGCTAATCATATATTCTATGCCCTAACCCCACCAATAAACATAACCCTCACAAAAAACTACTGGCATTTTTTTATATATATAAAAAAAACACAGTTTATTATGTTTTTAAGCCATTTGATTTACAAGGACAACAAACAATGAATACTGTCAAGTGTATGAGCCTGTTGGCTTAACTGGGGACCTGTAATTCCTGTTTGCATCCATGAGAGCCATTTTGTGTTCCTCTTTATGATCATGAATGTGATTTTAATTAATAAGGAACTTTAGGTAAATAAAGCAGTGTAAAGCTAGTTGTGGTTTATTTGGTTTTGTTACTTGTTCGTTCATAGTTTGCTATTTGCCAGCCACCAAACGTTAAATATGCTTTTAACTTTTTATTGAGATTATTATTATTTACAAAAATTCATAAAAAATTAAAATAAAATAAAAAATCAGAAGCAGGATTATTATTGTTAACTAAAACTATTAAAACATTTTTGTTAATTGAAATAAAGCTCAAATAAAATAAAATATAAATATTAGATGAAAAACTAAGTGAAAATTAAACGTTGATGTGGCATCTAACTAAAATAATTTTAAGTTGAAGGAAATTAATTGAATTTGAAATAAACAAAAACTAAAACTGAACTACAACTAAAATCGAAATAAATATAAATGAAACCTAAATAGTAATATTAAAAACAACTAATAAAGATGACAAAAGCACATAACAAAATGACTAAAAAATAAACAAAAATTAAATGAAATGAATTAAGAAATTAATATGAAAACTGAAATATATAAAAATAAAAGATAGTCTGCTGAAAACTTAACACTTAACCTTCATTCAAAATTAGGGATGTAACGATTAACTGCGAGCCGGTTGAAAATCGATTCAAATATGTGACGATTCAAATCGGTTGAGATGCCAAACAAATCGCGATTCATTTAGGGGTAGGAGTTTATATGAATGTATGTCTGAGGGGAACTTACTGTCTTTAGAAAAGTTGAGATGGTATTTTTTCTTTTCATCTTGCCTCTGTATAACGCATATTAAAGTTCATAAGTGCAGCGATGCTTTGTTTACAGCGGAAACCAAGGAAAAAAACGTGAATCGAATCGAATCGTGAGTTGAGTGAATCGTTACATCCCTATTCAAAATATAAATGAACTTTTGTTTTGTGCAGCCATATTGTTAGTTATGAGCAGGTTAATAGATTCCCTAATGACATATATAGAAATAAATTGATATATTACCTCCGTTTCGTTTGATTAAGCTTTACTATTGAAGTTTATGATTGCCAGAGGAAGCGCAGAGATGTTGCTGTGTATTTGTGTGTGTGAAGGTGTGTAGGCAGTTTCAGCGGGGCAGCTGCTGCAGAGGAGAGACAGACTGTCGATTCGCTCACCCCACTGACAGCACGATGATCGACAGCGCTGATAACACAGTGACTGTGTGCATGGACCATGTGAGGGGGAACTGCAACAGAGACAAGTGCAAATACTTCCACCCTACAGCACATCAGCACATCCAGCTTCAAACCAGACAGACCCTCAGCCCGTCCGCTACTGCCACAGTGAGAGCTATCACACTTCCTATCTGCACTCTTTCATGCACATTATAAAGAGTTCATCCTCCAGCTGAATACTTATAAGCGGAGCCGTTTCCAGGGGCTGTGCGAAGTGTGCGACCACACAGGGCCTCACACTTTAGGGGGCCTTGTGAAATTTGACTAAGGGATCGCAAAAGGCCAAAGACTATAGAACTATAGGATTTAAAAGGGATTTTAGACAGTAAGTAGAAAGTAAAAGAACTAGAATTTATTGTAATGCATTTGAATTCTAATATTTGTTTTAAAATCTGCATACATTCACTCCTAATCACATGCCTAATGTGCCAAAATGTTTAGCTAGCCTGTATCTTACCTTGAGCTCTTTCATCAATAAAACTGCATCATGCTGGATTTTGCACAACATACAGAGATGTACAATGCAGCAGAGCAGCGTTAAGAATGTGAAATATTGAGGAAGTGCCCCCCCCCCAATGTCTAATGAAATTGCATTAATGCAAACAGCATAGCATCACACAACAATATCATTCAAAGACTTTTTACTCAAGAGTAAAAGCTCCCTGAAAATGGAATACTTAAAAACAACTGCCCTTCCTATTTTAAAGACTAAAACAAAGAAACAGCAAACATATCAAAGCGGCTGAACACCAGCAAGCCTCTAAACACACAAACGCAATAACTTTATCATTGCAGAGCTGCAATTTTAATCATAGACACTATCTAGGCAAACCTCATTCTTTACATGGCCAGGAGGGCAACAAAATAGTATGGTAGCAACCAGTGTTGGGCAAGTTACTTCCAAAATGTAATACATTATATATTACTAGTTACCGTCTTTTGAAAGTAATTAGTTACATTACAATATTACTGTCTCTGAATTGTAATGCATTACACTACTTTTGAGTTACTTTCACAAAAATATTCACAGAAGTATTATAAAATGCCAAAATGTAGTTTATTGCTGCTCATACTACATCCAGTGGAGGGTAATGTGGTAGGTCTATATAGCATAAAATTATAAAATCATATTTAGATGCCGGTATGTAGGTCTACATTAATGCTACGTTGTAGTTTAGGTTAAACACATAAGCAGAAACCGCATTATTACATTCATAAATAACACCGGTAAATAAAGCAAAATGTTATAATATACAAACAATAAACACAATACCTAGCCTATAGGCTATTTTGAACGGTTTCAGAAGAAAACAAGAATGAAAAATATAAGTTGCTAAACAAGCCAAAACGAATTAGGCTAATCAGTGGCGGCGCTAGGGCGGGGCTTGACGGGGCCCATCAGAAACTTGCTTAGTTTACAGTTTTTCCTAGTGATGTTCCCTTATTTTTGGCGTCACTTTCATTAACATTGAAAAATAAACATAAAAAAAAAATGGCCTAATATGTGGCCTATAAATGATTGATATTATGGGGGAGGGGTCAAGCAACACAAGCAAGCAAAGCGCAAACTGTGCGCAAGAGTTATGCCGGTGAACGTCAGTCAATTCACTATAGAGAAAGTGAAAGTAAAAAAACTGACGGAGCTTTCTAACGCTGCATTAACGGCGCATATTCTCTGAGACAACAAGAGACAAAATGACTTCAATATAGGCTGATGATGATATATAACTGTCTTAAATTATTCCCTTAATATTTCTCTTGTGGCCCGTATAGTGAAAAACATGAGAAGAAACGTATTTCGCGTTAAACAGGTTGTTTTTGAAAATCTGTGCACGAAATAAAGCTGCTCTTAATTTTCATTGATGACTGCAGTGTTAATAATTTTAATTATAGGCCTATAATT